AACTCATCGGTGAATCCACCGATGAGAATAAAAACGCACATACGTTCAACAAAACCCAACTTTTTGCCGTAGCGGCAGCGTAATGTCAAAAATTCAAGATGGCTGCATTGCCGCCAATGAAATCGTACAAATTAAATCACATGATTAGTTACGCTCATGGTACGCTTACGTCAATTACGCCCGTGGGTTCTCGCCCTTAATGTGCCCCAAGCCGCTCAGGAAGTGCGCATGTTCATCGCTGGTAATCGATTTTAGTGAACGCCTTTGGATATTGACGCTATCAGCTGTCATACTGGTCGGTCGGTTGTCAAACAATTTTTAGTTTGTCAAACTTTTTATGAATCATTTTCATTAGTTGTAGTGTTTTTACTTCTACCCATTTTTAGTTCAGGTAAGTTTTATCTTTATCATGGCGTCAATCCCATTGGTGATGAAATTGATGTGAAGACAAACAGAAAAAGTTCAATTATCATTTATATGTATATGTACCTGAATAAAAATATTATAAGTCCAACGATTGACAGACACGAGTTTTATTTTTCTATTTTATCCAAAAAAACGTTTTTGGCGTTGACTAGATCAGTCTTGGTTATTACGTATTATATTTATTTCTAATAATGAGGGATAAATATAATAAGTAATGTTAAATCTGATCAAGGCCTAAAAAGGTCATCCATAAACAAAGTTTCAAATTCAAATATCCCGCCAAAATAATTTTACTTTGATCCAAGCCTATAGAGGCGCCACATATATAAACTTTTTTTTAACATGGGAGTTACCATTCTATATCCCCACTTAAACCTTATTCTATGGTATAGGTGTATCAACAATACAAACAATTCCATGTCACAATGATTATTTCAAACTCTTCCCGCGCCGAGTGCGGGAAGAAATCTCTTCCCGCACAGCTAATCGTACGGGAAGAGCCATTTCCCGCACGCTCGTAGAAAAAGTTCTAATTTTCTAAATTTGGCATTGATACAAATTATTTGAAATTTAAAATACGTTCAAATTTTAATAGCCAGTCACCAAACGTGTGTCATCACATAGAACTCATAAATCAAAACCAGGAAAAGATTTAAAAACAAGGCTGAAGTAATTAAAGTGGATCCTAAAGTGACAGAAATTCTAACAAAACATTATTTACGGCCGACACAAGTTCGGGTGATTTATTTGTCCTCGCATTCTTGGTTTAAAGTCAGGTCTATAGTTTATTACAGGAACGCGAGATGTCAATGGTGTCGCCCCTATAGTGTGCCCTAACTTGACTCAAAAAAAAAAATAGAAATCTTCATTTGGTTGAATTGTGTGATGGAACGCTTTTTCTTTTTTTGGCGGAAATTCGAAGTATTATTCTGTTTTACATAAACAGGGTTGTAGTTTCGACCAACGCAAATAATTTTGAACGTTCATCCGTCGGATCTTTTTCTAAACAGTGTAGCTACGGGCGTATTTCTAACTATTTTTGTAGTAGCGAGAAAACTACAAGTTCAAAAAATTTGAAAAAAAATATATGTCGCGTAGAATTGCAATAGTAGTTCGTAATAAAAATAATGGGAAACTTCATCTATTCGTTTTGAAATAAATGGTGAAAAACTACTTTTTTTTCAGTTTTTGCGATATTATAACTCAAAAATGGCGAGTCAAATTTGCTTAAAAAAATTATGGATTAAAGTATATTGATAACCATAAAACATATATTTTTTTTGGAATTTTTGAATACAAGGTTCAGAAAATAAGAGTTGACTTTAAACCTTAAACAAATAATTATATTTCCTCGAAAAAGACGAACGGAAGTCAGGTTAATGAATGGACATGACCGGAAATTCTTGGGGGTATCGAAAAATATAAAAACAGCGGTATCAGAATTTTGGAATCAGTTCAGCTTAGAGTCTTCAGTCTACAGTAATGAAGCATTTGCGATCAATTAGTTGAGATTAATGAGTCAGTCCGGATAAAATTCGCGAAGAGTTTCTTTTATTTTGTTGCCTCGGGCAAACGCGCTAAATCGACTCTTTTGAAAAAAAGTAACAGAACATCGTGAAAGGAAGGACATTTAAATTTGTTCAACATTATGTGAGAGCTCTAAATAATCAAAAGAATTATTTTAAAATAGTTAAGTGATTTAAGGACGGAATATAAGTACTCTAATGACATGTTTATTTCACTATCAATGATTGCAATGACTATGATGTAAGTGAATTGACAATGGGAGTTATGTTATTAACTTAGTATAAATTCTGTTTTTTTTTTAATGACTGTTGAATATTCTGAGCTCTGACTAATTAAGAAAATTAAAGTGTAATGAAAATTGAAATAATGATTATAGTTAATTATTTGGGTCTCTATCTGATTAAAAGAATTTAAATTAAATGCGTAATGTTGATTCGAAATAGTATTGTTCTGTTTAAGTTTAGGATTTTTGGGAGAAAGTTTAGTCATTAGAAGTACCTATCGAAAAGATTTAATTAACATGTTTAATGTTTTGAAATAATATTCACTCTGGCTAAGTTTACGATTTTTGAGTAAAAGTTTTGGCAGTAAGCGAATTCAGGGGTTTTATACGCTTATAGAACAAGTTTTATTAATTAAACTTTGTGATGAAAAATGATTATTGTTTTGACGAGTAAATGAATTTTGGTTAAAGATAATATTGCAACAGAAGCTAGATATTGAAGTAGGGCTCTATAAAAGAATTATTTAGGTTTCTAATTGTTAGGAATAGTAGGTACAAGGCTGTGATTGTGACATTTTATTACAGCTCAGAGATAGTAGGTATATAGGTGGCTGTAAAGTTAGAATCATTTTAGAATTTGTTTTCTTTCTTTTGTATTCGAAAGGTGTTGATTAGGGTATAAAATTAAGGAGCCATTGTAATTTGGTATAAAGACTGTTCATCTACTCAAAAAAAAGTATATTTATTAATGGAATAATAGCCTAGTCTAACCGATTGATTTGATTTGATTTGATTTGAAGGGCGATAAAGGCACTTTGCGCATATGCTATTCCTTGTAGTGAGATCGTGTCTTGAAATAAGTTTCTAATGCCAGGAGCTGTACAAGATAACTAATAATTTTCTAAACATATAATTGAACCCACAATGGTCAGAATGCGTTTGTGGATTTTATTTATTTACTGAGCGTGGTACGCTACAGATGAGCTATTCTCCAAATGGTACAATAAAATTAAAAAGTTGTATACAAAACAAAAATAAAATTAAACTTAAACTTAAAGCTAAGTAAACGTTAATATGTTACTTGGAAAAATACATACAACCTAACATAAATAATAAGAACAATATCAAGAAACATGAAATACAGAGAACAGTTAAATAAAAACTAAATTGCTTGTCCACAACAAACGCTTCAGCCTGTAGAGACAAGAGAACAAGTCGATTTCTGGTAGTGGTTATTGTAGTTGCGCATCATGCGCTCAAAAAATGGACCCAAGCCATAATTTGTTCAGTGAGTGGTTACAAATAAGAGCTTGGTTTGAATAGTTTGTCGAACTGGTACACGAGCACTGACTTTGGAAAGCAGAAGACTACAAGTTATAATCCCCCGGACCAGCTTATAAAGAAACAGTAGGAGCTGATGATCACCCGTCTTTGTTCTAGTGATTTCAGGCCACATAGGAGGTTACTGTCAAAGATTACTCCTAAATTATTGTAAAAGCCAAATATGTTCAATTATCTGGTTGTTGATGGTGTAGCAAGAAGACAAGATAATCTGTTTCTTGAAAAATTGCATTGATTTACACTTCTTGATGTTCAATTCCAAAAAATTGTTCCTGCATCATGCAACAAACAGGTCTTAATCTGCTTGAAAGGTTGACATGTGGACCCGTTTAATCATAGAGCTTGAAATGCCTATCCTGGAGAGCTTACAAGGAGCAGTTGATGACAGACCCTATCAAAAGACTTCGATATATCGGTAAAAACGATGTCGACTCTATGACCAGCCTCCAGTGAATGGACCTGGTAGTTCTGATAAACGGCCAAGCTTTTTGCTGTAGATCAACGCTGATGATAGCCATGTTGCTCGTCCTTTAAATGATGCTAGTATCCTTTCTGAAATCATGGCTTCTAGTAGTTTGGGTATAGCTGACAATAGGGTAATTCCTTTGTAGTTGCTAAGATCTTTCCTGTCGCCGAATTTGAAAATTGGAAAAATAGTTTATTTCTTTCAGCAGTCTGAAAAGTAGCCCTGATTGAAAGATCTTTGAAATAATTGGCACAGAGGTTTTGACATGGAGCGGTAAAATTTTTGAAGCAGCGGAGAGGGACATCAGGACCTGGACCTTTGGAGGTGTCTATAATAATCGCCTTAGCTTTGATTTGATATTTTTCCAAGGAGTCATAGGAAAATAGTGTGGAGAAAAAAGGTATGTTGAATTATTCCAGGATTGGTGCTTCGTTGTAGTCTCTGTAGCAAGATTGAAAGTAGGGAGCAAATTGTTGCTGAATTGGAAAGTCCTATTTTCAACTGTTTTTCTTGTTTCTGTTACCTATACACTGTGCTAGTTTTCGATATAGCCCATTAAAATATCGAAAATGTTTCACCCTGTACAGTGATTAATTCAAAACTCAGTACCTAAGTATTGTGATAGTTATGTATCAAGGGAATTATGAGGGTGTTAATACCCCAGGGCAAAGTTTGTTGTGTTGCCCGTAGGTATTAATACCTGATAATTCCCGAGGTACATGGATAATTTTATATCCTACTGAATTTACTGTATGTTGTCTACTTCTATGAATGAATAAACCATAAACCAAAATTTCCATTTTTTCTCAAAGTTTTACCCTATTCAAGATAAAAGCGGGAGTTATGGAAATTCTTAACTCCCGCGCGGGAGTTATGATATCCTTAACTTTTGCGTGGGAGTCATGAAATCCCTCACACGCAGGAGTTCAGATGCATTTATGATTATCGTAACCAAGGTATTAATTATATGTTTTTTTTTTCAAATCCAAATCCAAAGAATCAAATAAAATACAATATTTAATATACATTAATAACATGTATTACTTCAAGTAAATTTTGTATCAATACTCAATAAATAATAACATTATCGCAAATTTTTATACACATTTTCTCTTCCACAAACATTCATTAAAAGTAATCACTAGCTTTGACAGTTCAATTTGCAAATATTTATTTATTCTCTAAACCGAGACCAAATTTCAATGTCTCCGAATTATTTTCAGTTTCACTTTGAAGATCTAAAGCTTTTTGTTTATATTTATCTGCTAATTTTAGATCTTTTTCGACGCCATCTCCTTTAGCATACATTTGGCTCAAATTTGCACAACTATACATGTTACCTAGCTCACAACCCACGAGAGCGTACTTGAAGGCTTTTTCCATACTTCGAGGAATGTCATAATTGTCTTTTTCAGCTTTTTCTCCCACCTTGCTACCATTTCTAGCTCCTGCTATATGAAGCCCTGAGAGGTAGTAGCAAGCTGTTGCATTTTGAGCATCACATGACTTTTCTAATAAATTCATGCCCTGGAAACAAAAACCGTATAGAATTTTTGATAGGTGTATCTGGTATAAGAACCTTCAAAACATCTTGTTGGACTCCAAAAGTATCATTCTTTGTAACCAGTAAAATTGCTTGATTGAAACAGGAAAATGGTTCGTCCAAATTGCATCCTTTTTCAAAATAGCTGTAAGCTGCGGGATAATCGCTATTTCTTATTCCTTTTCCTGTCAAACAATATCCTCCATATTTCAAGCAACTTTTTCCATATTTGAACTCATCGCAGTTGTTTTTGTACACTCTTCCCGCTTTTTCGTAGTCTTTTTTTATTGCTTCTAGAAAGTCTGCTAGTAGATGACACACTGAAAACATATAAGTTTGTTGTTTTGATTTCACAAATAGATCACAAAACATAGTTGTTAAAGGCCAGTGATAAAATATTTGCTTTTTACATAACGAGTACCACAATACCTTTGCAAACAAACTTGAAACTTCAGACTTACCATCAGGTTTTTTTTCGCTGTAACAGCCGAACCGATACTCGATGCCTAAATTGTTGATATATTCCTTGACTTCACTTTCGGATTTTAGGTCATAAGACATGGTTTTTTGTTTTGTTGAGAGATAATTTTGAAATTAAAAATAAAATATTTGTATTAAAATTTTGAGGTTAAGGGCCGGATCATTGACAAATGTCGCCGTCCCACCGGTGACGTCACGATCAAGATTGGGTGTTTTCCTTAGGTGTTTTCGGTTGCTAGAATTAGTGCAAAGACTGCACTGTTTCTTTCATTTCATTTTTCTCAACCTCACGTTGCCAGCGAACTGAATAAAGACTAGGAGCAGGAGTAGCCAGCCCAAGCCGCTTTCCAGTGATCAATTTCAAGGTGCTCCACACCCGTAGCTTCACACTCTGGGTTGCGTTTCGAAATAGCACTGTGGGTGTGAGAGTGACCCTAGAGTAACTCTAAAACCGTTCATAAATTAACAGGTGCTTTTGGAGCGTTACACTGGAATCGTTCAGAAATCGAGAGTTGACGTGCTCAGAGTGCGCCCAAATTACCCTGATCAGGGTCTGGGTTGAAAAACACATGACACGGAGTCCCACCTCGTTTTTACCGGTTTTGACGTTGACATTTAGCGCAACACCCCAATTACGTTCAGAAAAGGCGCACCCAGAGTGCACTCCAAGTGATGACGTTAGAACACTGTGACAAACACCTACTCTACCTTCACACTCCATTTCTAAACGCACTCCTGGTGTTCCAAACAACTATTCTTTCACTGGAACACACCCTACTTTAAGCGTTGTGTCACAACCGCGTTGTGTCACAACCGCGTTGTGTTTTTGATGCACCCATAATATAAAAGTTGTACTTCTTTCAAGAGTTTGAAAACACTAGAGCTACTCGCTCCGGTGTTAGTCTCCCCGATTTGAAAGGAACAGATGCGCTGGCTTTCATGCATTTGAATGGCAAGAGTCGAACTTGAGCACAATAACCCTTTTCCCGTGGCTCCGGTTTAACAAACTGCAACATACCGCTCAAATTCGAGTGGTAGGTAAAGTCCGACAAATATCATTTTACGTCACGTGATATTGGTGGCAAAAAACGTATGTTCATTGATTATGTCGTTGATATCACCTACAAAAAGCTACCCAGATAACACAAAACTACATGAAAAGTATTTCAATTGTGCTGTATTTTCGCATTTGCATATCTGAGAAGTACTTGTCAAAACCACTCAGCCGCTTCTGGGATGTCCAGCCGGCCAGTAAAAAAAAGGCGCAATCATAGAAGCACTGCAGTTACGCACTTCCAACATGGAGTGCTCTAAGTGCTTCAAACGTGCGTTGGAAGTATTTGCGAAATGCTTCATAAAAGCACTTTTCCGACAGAGAAAAAGCACCACTAGAACATCTTTTTTGGTACATTTATATTGTACTCCTAAAGTACTTCATTGAAGTATTTTTTGAGTACATTTTTTATTTCACTGATAGCCATTGCAAATAAAAAACAAACATTGTGGTGGAATTAGGATTTTTTAATAAATAAACATAGGAAACATAAATAAAAAAATAAAATAAAATACCTATGTATATTAATTTCTTCTAAATAATCTTCTTCGCTTTCTCTGGTACCTAAAAAAGAAATTATACCTAAATTAAAATCTCTTACAAAGAGGGCACCCAATAAAATGAGTTTTATGGGGTTTTCGCAAACTGTAAAAGTAAAGGGGGTTGCTCAAATAAGAAAATAGGTTGCGCAATTAAAGGCCTATTGATTCATACATATCGAAGTCGTTTTGGGGATGACAGAATTCAAATTTGGCAAAAGGTTGCTCTAATAAAGTGAACTTATTTTGCAATATCTTGTCGAAAAGGCTCTAAAAAGAATTGAATCGATTTTGCAGAATTTCGTTAATTAAACAGTGAAAACACAACACACCCGTCACCCACCACGCATGCATTAGCACCTACAATCACCACATACAGCACAGAACAAAATAGCTTGGATTAACCCCTAACTAATATTTGATAATTGAACCCTATGCTGGAACAACGTTTCAAACGCCAAATATACCAAACAAGCGCGAAACTAGGGAGAGGTTGGACTTAAAATGTTGTTCCACAAAAAGGACATACTGGGCCTTTTGAAATGGCATCAACAACTCACAGACAACGTCAGCAGTAAAGACTACGGTGACGAAATAAAAGGCTGCGCGAAGCGGGTCGAATCTCTCTCCCTCGTCTATCTCTCGCTGTCTGTCGTGACCTCGGCCGTGAGCAAGCCATGAAGTTGAAAATAACGGCAACGTCGCCAATGGGTTTTGTGGTGCTATTTTGCTATTGAGGTTATATGTTTCTGTGTATTGTTTTCATTGTTTATTGCTAGAGTGAGGTGCATTTTCAAACGAAAAAGTGGCTAGAAACACCAATATATTGTTTACTTACTGTTTATATTTGGTTCATACCTGTTATGCCATTATTAGTTGTGTTTTGATTGTGAATTTATAGCAAATACTGCAATCGGTACAGGAGCAAAAATTAAGGTGAGTTAAGGTAAAAGCAAATAAAAACAATATAATATTTGTTTCCACTTTGCAAAGTGCAAGAGCACATGTATAGGTCTCGATATTATTATTATCTAAGATATTTAAACTTGTTCCAGATGCCAAGAAACTGCTGTGTGCCGAGGTGCAAATGCAAATCCAACTATAGGAGACTGAGGAACTGCAAACAACATTTTCATTTCCAAAAACTTCCGAATTACAGAAATTATGGCTAAAAGCTATACACCGAGATAATTATACGGTAACAAAAAAAGTCTGTAGTGTGTGCGAAACATTTTGAAAAAAATGAAATCATTAGATTTGAAACATACAAAGATAAAGAAGGAGTAAGTCGAGAACACAAACTTAAACGTCCAATCCTCAAAAGCAACGCTGTACCACATATTTTCGAAAACCAGCCCAAATATTTAAATAGACCTGCCCCTACCATCCGAAAAAATCCTGAAGCTAGAAAAAGTGATATTGTTAAAAGACATACCGAAACTGTAGAAAATTATCTTCAAAGTGATCTGATTCCAAGCTTTGAAAATTTTGTAAAACTTCTTGAAACTAAAATAACTCTGAATAAATGGCAATGTAAAGTATCTTCGACATTTGTACATTTTTATATGTTAAATATTGATCGTGATGGATATGACTGTGATATTGAAAATTTGAAAATTGTTTCCAGTGTAAGTGTTAGCCAAGAATTAGTGGTAAGTATTTTTGTTGGAGACAATGAGATTACAAGTAGTGACCTTATGTGGATTCTACCGAGTAGTAGAAAACTCAGTAGGTGGTCCCAAATAGAAAATTTATTGACTCGATACACTTTTGTTAATGACATTTCTTTAGATTCAATTTATTGTTTTAAAAAAGCTCAGTATTATCTTCAAGAAGGTATCAAAAAACTTGATGAAGGTTGTGAGTACAAAAACTTATTAGGAATATTATTGAATCAACTCTTTTTACTTGATTGTAAAAAGAAAAGATATAGCATGCCAACTATGTTGTTTTCACTTATTATTTTTTGTCAGTCATCATCTACCTATGAAAGAATAAGAGATTTTTTTTTTGCCTTCTAGTCGACATTTACAACAAATTACAGCAGACCTACATGTTTCTCCAGAAAATAATCTTGATATGAATAATAATTATCTTTCATATATGTTTTCTACTCTAAATGAAAGAGAAAAAATTGTTAGCCTTATGCTTGATGAGATATATCTTAAGAGTGGCCTTCAGTATAAATCAAAAAATATTAAAGGGTATGCTGAAAACAATGTTAATCAGCTTGCCAAAACGGTTCAAACTTATATGATATCTTCTCCATTTTCAAATATGAAAGAAGTTGTTCGGTTGATTCCTGTAAATAAAATGACAGGTAATGAACTTCAAGAAAAAACACTTGAAGTTATTAAACATATACAAAGCATAGGATTTAAAATTATAAGTATTATATCAGATAACAATAGAGTTAACAAAAAAATGTTTTCTAGTCTTTCACAGCATTTTTTTATGAGAAATCCCCAATTTCCAGATGAAAAAATATTTTTTTTGTACATATATTTAAAAATATATATTATAACTGGATGAATCTTAAAAATTTTGAAAAAACATTCATTTATCCAGACTTTGAAAATTTTCACCTTAAAAATAAAGCGTCATTTAGTAAAATAAGAGACTTTTATAACTTGGAATTTAATTTAATCACCAAAAAAGCTTATCGACTTAATGACAAAACAATGTATCCTAACAACCTGGAGCGACAAAACGTAATGTTATCTGAAAATATTTTCCATGATTCTACTATAGCAGCCCTGAAATCCAATGAAACTTGTATAGAGACAGCAAAGTTTCTTCAAATAATAAAAAATTGGTGGAGTATTGTTAATGTTAAAAACATACTGAAGGGGACAATAAAAAGAAATGATTTTTGTACTGCAATATATTCTGAAACCGACGATAAAATTCAATTTTTAAAAAAAATTTGTATTTGGCTTGATGCTTGGCATAGTGACAGCAATAATGTGGGTTTCACCAGAGATACCTATAATGCCATTAAGCAAAGTACCCAAAACCTTATCTATATAGTACAATATTCTCTTCAAAAGTTTAATCTCAAATACATATTAGCAGGAAAATTTCAAACGGACAATTTGGAAAAGAGGTTTGGAAGATATAGAAATTTGTCTGGTTGTAACTATAATGTTTCATACTGCCAAATTTTAGAATCAGAGAAAAAAATTAGACTTCAAAACTTATTAAAATCTTGTAACCTAGAACATGATTTAAATTATATAAAAAATATTTTGCCTTTGCCTAGGGAAAATTATGATGTAAGTTTGCAGGAAATTAACAATTTCAAATTTGTTCTGCATAGTAATTATTTAAAATTGTACAGTAATTTTGATGACTCTGTGCAGGAATACATCTGTGGATACGTGGCTCGATCAGTTTTGAAGAATAATAAATGTGATAAATGTCAAAGTTTAGTAGTTCTAGCAAAAGACATCCAGACGGATCATACATATTTTAATTCTCTGCAGAGAGGGGGTCTCTGTATTGCCACTCAAGAAACCAAGTTTATTTATTTTCATCTTTGTGCTATCTTCGAGTATATAATTAATAACAAAGATCTTGAAAGTATGTTCCTGAAAACAAATGATCATCATAATTTATTATCGCAGCTTACTTTATTAGCTTTAGAGTCCGATACCTTTAATATTGATTTGAACAAAATTTGTGAATGTGGTGCTAACTCAAAAAAAATTTACTCCTTTGCTTCTTTGATAATGAGTAATATTATTTTAAACAACTACACAAAATTTAAAAATAGTGAATGTCATAAAAATAAAACAGATTCAAGTAAAAAAAGAAAACTAACCACTTTGAAATAGAAAAAAAATGTACCTAGGTACTAAAAATAATAATAATAGAGGTATGTTTTAAGGGTAGCTTTCCCGAATTCTTAGAAAGTATTTATTTTTTTAACATGATAGGTAGTTGCTAGTTGTATAGAATTGTTTGACAAGACCTTGTACATATAAAATAGATATAGGATTATAACACTTTAGAATCTAGTAATATATTTATTTAAATCAATTATTTACTGTTCTTATTTACACAAATATTTATATTATTCATTGAATTACTGTTTTTACTTTTTAGTACAATATGATGCATTTTGTGTGATTAATATGTACAAAATATTGGTAATATTACAATAATTTTACTAACTACTAATATTTTTTCAAAGAAAACTACTTTTTTATGTAATTGAGATAAGAATTCATATCATCAATAAAAGTAGATAAACCATACGCGGAATTGAGGTTAAATAAAACAGCACCACTTGGCGGTAAGATTGCGGTGTTGCCTTTTTAACTTCATGGCTGTAAGTGTAGAGGGCTGTGGCTGAAACCAGCAGCGGGGTATCTTTTTAGACAAAACTTGGATACAAAATAAACTAAATAAATGTGCCTGCTGGCCGTACGACAATGAACCACGTGCTTGGGGTTCGGCAGCAGCACCGATCGATACGATACTTCGGTTAGTCTTCAAAATTGGGTTTGTGCGCAAATGACGTCACCGTACTCTTTTCTCTTGCGCGGACTCTACAGCTTTAGAGATACTCCGATCGTGCAGGTGGTGTACTACAGAGGTGCACCCCCCACCACAGATATCAAATGTGGTAAGGAAAGGGATAAGGAACGGCAAAAAGGCAAGCTGAAACAAGGAAGCGAGCCGAAGCTGCCGGCTGCCGCCATTTTTATTGTTTAGATTTTTAGGTCATTTAGTTTCGTGTTTGGGTTCTTGTGCGTGTTTTCGGTTTCACTGGAAGAATAATGAGTTCCAAAGGGTAAGTGAGTAATTGAATCCTATGCTGGAACAACGTTGTAAACGACAATGTGTAAAAACGGTATATCCATGGAACTACATTATATGTACCCTGGATAATTCGCCAACTTAATAGTGGGGTCCTAGGATATATTTTTTTTTTTATGAGTTGTTGATGCCATTTCAAAAGGCCCAGTAAGTCCTTTTTGTGGAACAACATTTTAAGTCCAACCTCTCCCTAGTTTCGCGCTTGTTTGGTATATTTGGCGTTTGAAACGTTGTTCCAGCATAGGGTTCAATTATCAAATATTAGTTAGGGGTTAATCCAAGCTATTTTGTTCTGTGCTGTATGTGGTGATTGTAGGTGCTAATGCATGCGTGGTGGGTGACGGGTGTGTTGTGTTTTCACTGTTTAATTAACGAAATTCTGCAAAATCGATTCAATTCTTTTTAGAGCCTTTTCGACAAGATATTGCAAAATAAGTTCACTTTATTAGAGCAACCTTTTGCCAAATTTGAATTCTGTCATCCCCAAAACGACTTCGATATGTATGAATCAATAGGCCTTTAATTGCGCAACCTATTTTCTTATTTGAGCAACCCCCTTTACTTTTACAGTTTGCGAAAACCCCATAAAACTCATTTTATTGGGTGCCCTCTTTGTAAGAGATTTTAATTTAGGTATAATTTCTTTTTTAGGTACCAGAGAAAGCGAAGAAGATTATTTAGAAGAAATTAATATACATAGGTATTTTATTTTATTTTTTTATTTATGTTTCCTATGTTTATTTATTAAAAAATCCTAATTCCACCACAATGTTTGTTTTTTATTTGCAATGGCTATCAGTGAAATAAAAAATGTACTCAAAAAATACTTCAATGAAGTACTTTAGGAGTACAATATAAATGTACCAAAAAAGATGTTCTAGTGGTGCTTTTTCTCTGTCGGAAAAGTGCTTTTATGAAGCATTTCGCAAATACTTCCAACGCACGTTTGAAGCACTTAGAGCACTCCATGTTGGAAGTGCGTAACTGCAGTGCTTCTATGATTGCGCCTTTTTTTTACTGGCCGGGTGGACATTACAGAAGCGGCTGAGTGGTTTTGACAAGTACTTATCAGATATGCAAATGCGAAAATACAGCACAATTGAAATACTTTTCATGTAGTTTAGTGTTATATGGGTAGCTTTTTGTAGGTGATATCAACGACATAATCAATGAACATACGTTTTTTGCCACCAATATCACGTGACTTTAAAATGGTATTTGTCGGACTTTACCTACCACTCGAATTTGAGCGGTATGTTGCAGTTTGTTAAACCGGAGCCACAGGAAAAGGGTTATTGTGCTCAAGCCCGACTCTTGCCATTCAAATGCATGAAAGCCAGCGCATCTGTTCCTTTCAAATCGGGGAGACTAACACCGGAGCGAGTAGCTCTAGTGTTTTCAAACTCTTGAAAGAAGTACAACTTTTATATTTTGGGTGCATCAAAAACACAACGCGGTTGTGACACAACGCTTAAAGTAGGATGTGTTCCAGTGAAAGAATAGTTGTTTGGAACACCAGGAGTGCGTTTAGAAATGGAGTGTGAAGGTAGAGTAGGTGTTTGTCAGAGTGTTCTAACGTCATCACTTGGAGTGCACTCTGGGTGCGCCTTTTCTGAACGTAATTGGGGTGTTGCGCTAAATGTCACCGTCAAACCCGGTAAAAACTAGGCGTTTTTCAACCCAGACCCCGATCGGGGTAATTTGGGCGCACTCTGAGCACGTCAACTCTCGATTTCTGAACGATTCCAGTGTAACGCTCCAAAAGCACCTGTTAATTTATGAACGGTTTTAGAGTTACTCTAGGGTCACTCTCACACCCAGAGAAAATTCACCGGTTTCTAAACCGGTGCGATACCGGTTTAATAGTTTACTCACCAAACCGTTTCAAAATGTACCGGTTGAACCCGATCGTTCGTTCCAAAATCGACCAGAATGATCAGCTGTTTAAAACGGGTGAGGCACCGAATCCACCGGGAATTTTTGTCGGTTTTTTCGGTTGAAGGTTTATTGACACTTTTTTTTTGACGTACATTAATTTAATTGCTTTGAATGGGCACTATTGGCAGTCTATTGTTAAATTGCTCCTTGCAGATGGCAGAATACAAAAATGTTTGTGCGTGGGCGTCATTATGAAATCGACAAACCAAATACTCAGCTCACATAATCTACAAAAATCGTACTGAAAACTGCCGTTTGTTGACTGTTAAAATAATAAAAATACATAACAACCTCACTGCATCCCACAAAAAAATCCATTCCAAAAAATAATAAGCAACACCACCAAACTTTGACACCAACCGTGCGTTCGTTATTTTGGTCCGAGTTCTCCGAGCTTGACTTTACCGTTCGTTTATTTAAAAAGTGTACTCGGTGCAGCCTCATTCGCGTTCGTTTATTAAAATTTCTGGCACTTTTAAACAGCGTTCAACTGCTCTGTGCGCTCACTGGTCACGTGATTACGGCTCCGCTCAGCACGCTCTGCTTTTTGAGCAAAATACCGAACGCAAGGCAAAGCGTTCCAAAATGCACCAGGAAGATCTTGTAACCGGACTTGCATCTGACTTTTACCGGAATTTTTGGACAGCTACCGGTTTATTTAACCGGTCAATTTATCGGTGAAATTTGGAAAGTGCCCTATCCATCACGTCACTTTGTAACCGGGTTAGAAAACGGTATGTTATTTCTCTAACCGTTTTGTAGCCCGGTTAGTTATACCGGAGCTACGTGAGAAGAACTAATGATGCATAGTTCATTGGATGAAACAAACGCTTTTCGAAAGAAATAATCGCGTAACGCCCCGGAGTATGTACTTGAGAGGGCAGCGAAGGGGAAAAACGAACTGTTTAGTTGCGCGAAACTCTTGCACTGGGACTCCTATAAACAGCCCGGGGCGCTCTAAAGTAGCTCAGGAGTGCTCTAAGTGCGCCACTGTCGACTCTGACATACATACACATACATAACCTCAGAAATTTTAAATTCTGTTATCATCAGTTTTTTTAAAAGTTAATTTTTATCTTATCTTCTGTGCTTGAAATTGAAAAATTGTTAAACATTATTGTAACTTTAAGTATTAAAATATTTATAGCACAATGACGAAACTAATGGAATGGGTGCTGGCCGCCGGAGCCCTAGGAGCGATCTGGTTAGCTCTATTGACTAATACAGTTGAAAATTCTCTAGTAAAAGACCATTTCAAATTGTTGTTGTTATCGCCGATAATTTTTGTTGTATTATTTGGGGTAAGTTTTTTTATTAATTTGAAGAATATAGAATATAGACCAGGTTCACCCGAGGGGTGTTTCACTTATGCAGTAGGTGTACAAATATCATATGCAATCAATGGAATACATGGACTCATGCAGTCATAATACAGTCGTATGCAGTCATAATACAGACCCTTGAAATCGTTATAAACTCTGTGCAGTCCGAGGTGCAGTCACATGCAGTAGCGTACATTCCATATACACTGAGAGTTGAGCCTGCAATCTTGTTCGAAATTACTCAAAAGTCAATGCAGACAACTATCATCTTTGATGCAATCAATGCAGTCTATCTCTGATGCAGTCAAATACAGTAGGTGTACAAAATTTGGTGGGTGAAACACCCCTCGGGTTTACCCAATTCCTTGATTCTTAATGGCTGCTCTTGAATCTTGAAAGATGGAACCTGTTTAGCTGAGTGTTTAACATTACATTGGAATTTTTCTAAGAATTTAATTTTCAAACATGGCAGGAATACCTCCAAGTTCATTCATGACATGCAGGTCCCTCATATAATTCCCAATTTTGTGTGCAATATTGCCTTTTTACATATACAGGGCGGGGACTTTAACTGGAACTAATTTGCTAGAGCCTTCGGATAAAATATGAGGACAAAACGCTAAAACACATCGATTAAGATTATTTGCTTAAAATGTTTTCACATTAATTTTTTTATACAGGGTGTTCCAAGAACAGCTACGGTTATCAACTTTATTTTTTTAAATAGAAACCCCTGTATATTATTATAATGAAATATGTCTAGAATTTTCCGCATAATCCAGAAATATCATAATATACAGGGGCTACCATTTAAAAAAATTAAGTTGATAACTGTACAGCTGTTCTTGGAACACCCTGTATAAAGAAATTAATGTGAAAAAATCTTAAGCAAATAATCTTCGATGTGTTTTAGCGTTTTGTCCTCATATTTTATCCGAAGGCTCTAGCGAATTAGTTTCAGTTAAAGTCCCCATCCTGTATATTAAGATGCAACTTATTAAAACGTACAAACACCTTTTGTCAGCCCAGCGGTTCTGAGTCTACGGAAGGAATTCGGATGTAAATGTGCGATGTTGCCGCGTTTAATTATAGAAAAGCAAAAATACTATACTTTATTTTTATTTTTTTCCAAGCTAGACTTTGGCATTGTCAATTTTGAAACATAAACAATGCCACTAATGCCGCTTATTGGTCGCTATTGTAAAACTGATGTCAACCTGCAGAAACACCTCATTTTGCGACCAATTAGGGTCAAGCGTTATTGTTTATGTTTCAAAGTTTTCAATGTCAAAATCTATCTTGGGAAAAAATAAAGTATAGGTATGAAGTACAGTTCATGTGAAAATCCATTTTTTAATAACAAAATATAGATAATAATAATGAAACGCTAAAGATTCTAACGTGGTTGTTAGATCTATTATTATTTTAATAACTGATTTCTTCAATTTTGTCTAATATAAAAATGAACATTTACCAAAGATACCATCAGCTTTTGTCAATTTGGCAAGCATCCAGCCTGGATGAACCTGATTGGTAGAGTTTTTGGCAGAATCGCCGTTGCCATGGGGAACCATGCGGTTGTCAGTGGGCTAACGTCACCTTACGTCTCGCTATTGGCCAGGGCTCCTGTCATTGTACTTGGAATATCGATTTATATTGAAATATACAGTGGCGGGGATTTGGTCATTGTCAATTTTCGTGTACGAGTTGCAATACAATATTATATTTCCAAAAAGTTCCGCACGCAGCTCGGTATTTTCTGAATGAAATCAGCCATTTTTTTTTACAACTGCATTCCCCTTACCGTTGCCCCGTAGACACAGAGTCGCTGGGCAGACATTAGATATGCAGATAGAAATGTAATAACGAGTGATTTCCCGGTACCCATCAAGTAAGTCAATTTGTGTTCCTTTGGCAAATCTGGGAGTCCCTGTAATTACTTAGGACTGATGGTTGAATAATAGCGCGTCGCTGAGTTAATACGGTATTACTCAATAATCCATTGATCGGCAAATAGAGAGTCGGATAATCAAGAGTCTACTGTAATAGGAAACGAAGAGAATTTTTCACAATAATCACAACAAACATCTACCCTGAATGTTCATGATTTAGAGAAAATCTAGATTAAAAGGTTACCTAGAAATTGCTAGGAATGTACTGGAAAATATGAAATTAAACAATTACTCAGGCCATCTACAACTTTTCCTGTGCTGTGGATTGAATTTCATCCAATTATAAACTGGGAATGGTAGGTAAAAGATAAATTTTATGAAAGGATGGAACAGGTTCTACAAGGTATAAATTTGAATAAGGAAATAATGATACTCATGGCTATTTTCACGGCGATAACTTGAGGGAAATTTAATCTAAGTGGAGCTTTGACTGTGAATTTTGTTTCTATAAAGAGTCACATTCAAATTTCCACTTAGATTAAATATCCCTCGAAATATCCCTTAAGTTATAGCAATGCAAATAGCCGTCAGTGTCCTAAGGTTTGTTTGTTTGTATCGCACTAACTTGAACTAAGCTGTGATATTTCAGATTATGGCAGATACACGCATATAAAACGCTTACAAACGAATGCCCCAAAGCAGGAAGTGCTGCCCCGTACAACACAAACAAACAAACAAACCTCTAAATGTGAGTACTGGAAAATAGATGAAGGTCCTGATTGTAGGACAGTATGGAGAAGAAACAAGGAATGAAAATGGACAATGGCTCATGAGCCTATGTGAAAGCTTTTCACTGAAGATAATGAACGGATTTTACTCCCATAAGGACATCGATAAATTTATCTGGATACAGCCTACCAAAGGACCAAAATCAATCATAGACTACCTAATTCAAAGACAGCACTCCAGAATAAAAATAAATCACGAAAAAGCGTATCCTAGCGCGGAATGAGGATCGGACCACCAATCTGGTTATAGCCTAAGCAGTGGTTAATTTCAGGAAAAACCGAGGGAAAAACGGAAATCGAGTAAACAAGGTTAATACAAATATATCCAAATTAGACACAGTGAATTATAATTTTGAAGATGAGTTTACAAAATTCTTCCATAAATTATGACTAGCAGCCGAGCTAGCAGCACATCTCTGGGAATATTCGGGTCAAGGTCTTAACATATCAGAAAAATATGAAGAAAAAACAAGAAAAATCATGCGGCAGCAAAAGAAGCGCTTGGAATTCAAGACAAAAAATGAACAAACACAATGGTCAGAAGAGCTAGAAAGGCTAAAGAAAGCTAGGAAGGTAGCTTACCAGAAGTGGTTGGGAGATGGGAGAATAATATACAGGGTGTCCCCAGGTAATAACTTCGGAACGCGTCATCCAATAAAATTGGAATTTTGAGGATCTGGGTAACTTTTTGTGCCGCTTCATCCAATTTCACCACTTTCACTTCAATTTCGGTCAAGTGACGTCAACTTTCGAATCTTAAATGTAAATTATAGTATATTATGGCATTTTTTGTTAGAAAATTAAATTACAAAATCGGAAATGCCATATTTGTTAAGGCTTTGTTATGAAAATGATAAAAAATTATACAGTGGAACATACGATGATGCGTTCCAAAGTTATCATTCGGGAAAAACCTTGTGGGACACCCTGTATAGACAACAAAATAGGAGTATTAAGAAAGAGGTGTCGAGGCAGAAAAAACGAAACATGGGAGAAGCGATGCAAAAAGATTGAAAGATATTTGGGAGGTTCAAGAGTGGCAGCAGCATGGAAAGGTAGAAAGGACGCAGCGAATGTCCCGATAATATCAATAGAAGAGGAAGAATGGACTGAACACTACAAAGAAGTTGACAGAGGAAACAGCAATTCAAGAGACAGATTGACGAAATTGGGGAAGATGAAGTAAATCATGCGGATGCCATAACAACGAAAGAGGAGAACAAAATGTACCGGGTGTTTTTTTATCTTTGATATCATTTTGATCACCTGTAACTTTTTTGTTTTTAAAGATATCAAGGTAAACAAAAAAACATAATGTAGTTACACATGAAACAAAACATTATCAATTTTTTGACATATAAGCCTGAATTATATTTTTTTAAATGAAACACCCTGTATATTATATGTGTGTTCGATAGAATATCTGATTCTGATTACAATGATGTAACACACTTCATATTTTGTTCCACTCGTTTTTGACAAATCGGCAAAAATATATGAAATTTTTATACCTATGCTCTCAATAATTCTTGTCCCAAATATCAGACCCCTGCCTAATAAGCTTCACTTCGAATGTTTCATATTTCTGCCGATTTGTCAAAAACGAGTGGACCAAAATATGGAGTGTGTTATATCATTGTTATCAGAATAAGATATTCTATCGAACACACATAAAATATACAGGGTGTTCCATTTGAAAAAATATAATATAGGCTTATATGTCAAAAAGTTGATAGTGTTTTGTTTTATGTGTAACTTGAAAAAAAACTTGGCTATTTATCCTATATTTTGTTTTTTTGTTTACCTTGATAACTTCAAAAACAAAAAAGTTACAAGTGATGGAAATGATATCCAAGATAAAAAAACACCCGGTACAAGATATGAAAAATGTAAAGACTCTGGGGCCAGAAAACATTAATATCGAGCTAGTCAAATGTGCGCCAGAGATTGTGATAGACATTCTAGCAGATAGATACAACGATCTGTTACTAAGAGGGCACACTATACCTGCACACTGGAATATCTCACACATAAGTTCCATCCATAAAAAACGAGATCGAAAAACTTCTCAATCTCAATCTCAATAAGCTTTATTGTCTCAAAATACACATATTTCATTGACAAAGCAATTCTTATTACTAATAGGTAAGCAATTAAACTTTAAAATCATGCAATACTTAAGTAGACTAAACAAATAAAATAAAATAACTTAAAATAAAACAAAATAGAATAAAATAGCAAGTTCCCAAAAACAAATTAGAAACCCACATAGTGGCTGAAACCTTAAAGAAAGTATAGA